AGTGTTGTCCATAGATACCTCCAAGGTCATGTGGCCAGCATGACTGCATGGAGCGCTGCCAACTTCCCTCAGAAGTGTTACCTATTAACCAACTAACATTTTGCATGTGTTCAGACTAATAGGTTGGCAGAAGCCGAGCCTAACAGCAGCAGCTTACCCCGCTCCCAGATTCGAACTGCAACCTTTCAGTCAGCAAATTCAACAGCTCAGTGGTTTTACCCATTGCGCCACCGGGGGGGACAGGGGGGGGACACCTTAAGCAGTATATGTTTTTTCTATTCAAAACAAACAAACAAGCATCCCTGGCTTTTTCCTTCAGAATGGTCAGGTTACACGATTTTCTTCAGTTTTGCATTCAACACTGAAAGATCATTCTCCCTTTTCTATCAGGAAATGAAATCTTGGGTAGGTCTACCAATGTTAATGGCCAGCAGTTACAAAGTTTCATTTGGCCAACATTGCCTCCCCAGATTAGAGGCTCTTGCTGATAGGTATTTCTTTCAGATACGCAAGTCTGAATAATGTAATCTCAAGCATAGAAAATGCCTGAAGGAAGTATCTACTATTAATAAGGTTATGGTTTATATACTTCCATGCTATGACCTCTGATAGGATTTCCTTTTTCCACTTAAAAAGTTTTGTATCAATTTAGCAATTGTCTTTGTTTTCAGTACATCTTATCAGTCTTTGTCCTTTATGGATTATGCTCCTTGAAGTGTAGCTGAAAATATTTTGCTTTTACCTGTTAACAGCCCCTATTTGTGATAGTATGATGGCTTTCTAATCTTTGTTGACATAACACAACAGTTTCCAGAGGGGAAGGCATCGGATGAGAGTTATTTGTCTAAAATGGTTGTTTGCTTTATGGTTGCCTGAGGCATTCTCCTGTAACATTTGTCAGGGTGAACATTCCCTAAATGCAAGTTGTCTGTCACTCTTAATGTCTTCTTGCTCGCGGATTTTTTAAAACTTCTTTTAGAGCAAAATATAGTTTTATTACATCTAAAATAACACATGCTTTAGATAGCCAGGTGAGTTACTCAAGCCATGGGCAATCTGAAATAGGACCCACAAAATAAAGTGAAGATTAACATGATGGACAAGTAGGACTTCACAAAGTCAGTGACAGATGATGGAACACATATAAAAAAAAGATACACTGTGAAGTTAACATGAAAAGTACATTCTCCTGTGTAGTATAGGATAACCATTGGTATTTAGAAGGGAAGGCCACACTATTGCTAGCTAGCAGACAAAATTCCTCTATTGATCCCTTGAATCTGAAATACACTTGATCTTGAGTGATGAAATCTAAAGTTCATTTTACCTAAACATACCCTTTGTTTTATATTTTGCCATCTGTTACTGTGCTGTGACACTCACTTGATATATGTTTTTCAATAGGAATCTGTCATCAATCTAGCATAGTAAAGCATATTCAAATATTGCAGCCACAGCATATTTAAGAAGCACATTTTTACTAGCTCCAACTACTTTCAAGCAAAGCAAACTACAGCTAGCATATGTTTCATTTCAAAATGTCAGTAAATAATATTTTCCTAGAAATTCATTCAATCTGGCCTCAGTGGAATGTAACAGCAGCCAACCACATAAATGGAACAGCTGGCTCTTTAGCTGAAGCTTACCTTTCATAATGTGTTCCTTCCAAGCAAATCAGAAAGAAAGAAAACTGCAGCAATTTGTTGTGTCCCATTAATAGTTTCTTTACCTCCCTCTGGATTTTTTTCACTGTTTACACTGTTTTCTAGCATATTAGTGCTGTCATTTTGACTTAAAATAATATTCTTGTTCTCTGCTGTGAGAAGCAGCAGAATTGTGAAAGACAACCTAGATATAAAACAAAGAGATTAGACAAGGTGGCACAATAATCCAACACTGCTACCTGTGTTGTATCATATGCTGGAACGCACATGTTTATGAGATTGTTCCTGTTAGGGAAGGGAGATACATGGAAATACAGCTTCTTTTGCTCCACCCCATTAAGGAAAATCAATGTGAGCTGTAGCCAAGGCTTTGATAGTTGCTGCAAGTCTGGTTATTTCCAATTTAAGTAGGACTAGAAAGATCGAGAACAGACAACTTGATTCCTATTCATATAGCTGAACTTCCTTTCTTTCCTTCCTTTAGCCATTTACATCACTTAAACACTGATTTTAGAGAACTTTCCACTCACCAGTCCTCTCTGCCATTGAAATCTCTTCCTGCCCAGACTTGAGAAGGGAGAGTGTTCCTGGTTGCAATGTAGAGGGCAAATTGGCCATTCTGATCAAACTCACTTTTCTAGTGAAAGAACAGAATACTGATTTACATCAATTTCAAATTCTAGTTCCACGGTGGAATTCACATGCATGTGATAATTTGAATATAAAAATGTAGGCATCTCAATCTCTATAAATACAGAGATAACTATAAGCAAGTAAAGTTTATTGATTAGTCCACTGACTGTATCAACATTAAAGACAAAAACAAAAATGTACACAAATAAACAATAATCACTATCCTAAGACTCCCATAATAGTGAACTAACATACATTCAAACTTGATTAAGTTAAAAGGTAAGTAAAAATATCATCATTGAAATGCCAAAGTAAAATTTCAAACCACAAAAATTAAAAATGAAGGTTAAAACAAAGGTTAAAATAGACCAGCTATTACACAATTCTAAGACAGTTCAAATATCTGCGTCATCCCTACAGTTTACCCCAATCGCCTCCATATGCGCAGTTCTCAGCTGCATTGCTTTATGAAGAAAAAGGGCCAGGGATAACTATAAGGTTGCTAAAGTGTGATCAGTAGATGGTTGACTGTGCATCACACATTGACAAAACAAATTAGTTTACTATACTTAACTATGATAGATAGATAGCACTGGACTGATGGAATATTCAGCAGTGATAAACTAAAGAAATGGAATTGGGAAATCCTAGTTCATCAGATAAGGAACAGAGGGGCAGCTAGAAAGTGCTCCATTGCCAGAGAGAAGATGAAAAACCGCCCCACCTTCTCCTAGACCATGAAGCAGGCCAATTTAAATTGCTCTTCCTTCAACTGAGCAGAAATTAAGTAGAGGAAATATTTCTGCCAGTGAAAAAACTTTTGCTATTATCCACACTTCCACATTTATACAATGTCCCACAACATAGCAATTGCATATATGGGGGGGGGGGGTACTGTACATGACGTTTGGCTAAGGTCATGCAGGGATTTAAAAAAATCTTTGCAAATACTCCTCAAACAGCAGACTATCCCAAAATGTGAGAGACCATAAAGTAAGGAATATTTGGATACACTCTTATTCCCCTAAAAAGCCTATGTCTTACTTCAAAGACTCAAAAATAAAAACATTTTGCTGTATAAATTATTCCTATGGAGATTATTGTACTGGAGTTATCAGAGCAAACGGATTTGAATGTATTCCTCCTGCCAATTTTGTAGCAGTTTTAGAACTGCTTCCCCATTTCATATTTCTATGCAGCTAGTTCTTGGGAGGAGAGCAATGTCCAATCTCAATAAAATAGTAAAGAGCAGAGACATCACACTGGCAACAAAGATCCACACAGTCAACGCCATGGTATTCCCTGTAGTAACCTACGGATGTGAGAGCTGGACCTTAGGGAAGACTGAGCGAAGATAGATGCTTTTGAACTGTGGTGTTGGAGGAAAGTTCTGAGAGTGCCTTGGACTGCGAGAAGATCCAACCAGTCCATCCTCCAGGAAATAAAGCCCGGCTGCTCATTGGAGGGAAGGATACTAGAGACAAAGTTAAAGTACTTTGGCTACATCATGAGGAGACAGCAAAGCCGAGAGAAGACAATAATGCTGGGGAAAGTGGAAGGTAAAAGGAAGAGGGGCCAACCAAGGGCAAGATGGATGGATGGCATCCTTGAAGTGACTGGACTGACCTTGAAGGAACTGGGGGTGGTGACGGCCGACAGGGAGCTCTGGCGTGGGCTGGTCCATGAGGTCACGAAGAGTCGGAGACGACTGAACGAATGAACAACAACAAAGTTCTTGGGTGTTTTTCCGTTTTCTGTTTAGATAACTGTTCACCCCATTTTGGTAGGAACTTGCAAGAATGCAGCCTGGATTTGGGAAATTTCTTATCAATGCAGTGTCCTTTGGTATCTGCTGGGATTTGGTGCCAGGACTCCACTGGAATACTATAACCAATGGATGTGCAAGTCCCATTATATACAATGATACCTTTTTAATATAAGGTTTGCTTTTTTGAATTTTGAAAAAAATATTTTCAAGGTGTGGGTGGTTGCATCATTGGATAAAGAGTCCATCGATACAGTGAGTCAACTGTATTTTGACTAAGCAAGCCTAGAGTATTTGTCTCCCTTTCTCTTGTTATTCTTTTTTCTGATTTTGAAATCAGTCACGAACAGTAGCAGTTTGTATATACACATTTGAACCTGAGCTAGGACACAATGGGCATTGAAGCTGTTAACAGAACATGGTGATTCAAAAGATTTAATAAAAAATTAAATGCTTTTCCCTTGGAAACGTTTGAAATATGTGTCAGCTTTTTTCCTAGTTAAAGTGAAACCTTATATTTTGTAAAAGTCAATATAAACTGAAATGTAATGGTGATTTTTTGTCTAGCCTGCTAGAAGGCTGCTCAACTCAATTGCAAAATGGGCATAGATTTATTTGATGTATGCTGAGGTTAGGTAAGTCTGATCAATTATAAAGAGATTGTGTATATTGTTTCCTTTGTTTGTCGTTGTTATAATATTGCTACTTAAGGGACACCATGCAATGTAAGGTTATTTTCTGTACATGGGAGGAGTGGTGAAATATGTTATTGTTCTTCCCTTTCATTTTGGGAAAAATCTTGTCAGCAGTTTATGCTGAACAAAGCTTCATTCGGCTCCAATTGAACTTTCTCTAAATGCTCTCTTATTCTCTCTCTATTTCTATCCCTTTTTTTATAAAAAAAATCACTCTTGTTCTTTTATTCCCCTTAATTTCAGCAAAACCATTTGAAAATGGACAGTATCTGGACATCTATGGAATTACACGAGACCAAGCTGGGGAATATGAATGCAGTGCTGAAAATGATGTCTCAGTCCCAGATGTGAAAAAAGTAAAAGTCACAGTAAACTGTAAGTTATATCCACAAGTGTGTGTGTGTGTGCATATATGCAGAAAGGTTTTTTTCTATTTGTCTGTATGTGTGTACATTCAATATTAAATTTGAAAGGATTTTAATGAAAATGATTGTGACTGAAAAGAAAAAGGACATTCAGTTGGAAGGAACCAGCATCATGGCATCAGAGTTTGAGCATATCTCATGTGTCTTTGTTATAACATCTGTAAAAAGATCCTGCATGGAGTGATGAAGGTTTGCTATAGATAATATTTCTCATAATATTAGAATTTCACTAATCCATCAGATTCATTCTACTTGACCACCACTGAAGCTGATATTTTATTCCTACGTGCTTTTCTGTGTCCAATAGTGGGTTGCTACTAGAGTAAGGGGGGGGGGCATTACTTCTCTAGGGAATTTTGGAGGACTGTAGGCCTCATTTAACCTGCTTATATCCCAAAATATTGGAAACTCCACCACACTCTGAGGGCCACAGTTTGAGGATGCCTGGCCTACACTGACTATTTAGGATGGATCGGGGCCAGGGCCATAGCCAGAGCAGGGGCTTAAAAGTTCAACCCTGTGCCCTGAAATGTGTCAGGTTAAAAAAAAACCTGGTTTACTCATAAATTGGTTAACCAGCTAAAATCCATGAGTAAAGTAGGCTTCAGGGGTGGGGGTAGAACCCTTCAACGCCCCCCCCCCCCCCCGGCTATGGCCCTGATTGGGGTTGGATCAGTTACTGGGGCAGCCCATTACGTCATGAAACTGATCTAGGGTAATGTGTGGCAAGGCCACGTTAACGCATCCTTACACCCAGGCCTGTAGCCAGGGGAGAATTTTAGGGATTCAACCCCTCCCCCCCCCTCCCAAATTTTTAGGTTAAAAAAAAACCTGGTTTACTCATGAATTTTAACTGGTTAACCAATCCCCATGCTAAGTCTATGAGATGCAAAAAATTAAGAGTCCCTCCAGAACTGCAAGCACTATCTCAAGCAAATATTGACAATTTATTCACACTGTCATTACTTGCAGCAATAGCCAATGATGTAGCAAAGCAACCAAGTTGGGGGGGGGGGGGGTTGAATGCTCTCATTAAGGAGGCCAGACTTGGTGGAGGTGGTTGACAGGGGCGGAGCTGCAGGCTATTGAAGGCTGCTCTGCCCCCTGCTGTGCTCTTTGCTTCAGCGTGACCTAGGAGGCAGGTTTCAACCCCCCCCCCGAGAATTTTCAACCCTCCCCCAAAATTTTCAAGCCCCCCCCCCCCAAAATTTCAACCCTCCCCGAATTTTTTTTCTGGCTACGGCCCTGCTTACACCACATTAACCAAATTTGGGGGAAGTCAGAAATCTGGCCCAGAATTTGGACTATCCTTTAATTTTAGGCCCATCTGAACAATTGGTCCTGTTCCAAAACGGAACCAGCCACAACTGCCATCCCATGTTTCCCACCTCTCCCATCTCCCCTTCTGCCTCTTCCATCACGCTGGCTGACATCACTGGCAAAAAGATAGGACCCATCTTGTGGCTGAAGGCCATTGCAACATGGAGGATGGGAAGGGTTGGTAAGGGAGGCCGTCCAGTCAGGATTCCCTTCTGTATCCACAATGGGGAGTGGCTGTGTGGCCCACACAGGGAATCCATATTGTTGAGTCAGTGTAGACCCACCCCATATATCTGGAGCCACAGAAAAAAGCTCGTTCCATCTCAAAACCTACATTCACTTCACCCAATCGAACATTGTTGGCTCTATTTGCTTCTGAAATATTTCTGACTTATCGTAATCAGAAAGCAAAACTGTCATAAAGTTTTCTTAGCAAGAGTTCATCATTGCCTTCTTCTGAAGCTGAAAGAATATGATTTGCCCAAGCTTACTCGTGACTTTTCATGGCCAAATGAGGATGCATTTGGCCATGGTTTAATAATCAAACCTAGTTCAGTACTCACACCATTCTCCCATGCTGGTTGTCTATGTAGGACTTGCAACACTTTTTTGCTTAAAAAAAACTTAAAAGATAAGCTTTTACATCACACAATGGCAATACTTCCCCTGGAGGGTGGGGCAGGGTGGGGTGGGACATAAGGTAAACAATTTGGCAGTTTGTGAAGGCCCTCGTAAGATATTTTCCTTGCCCCTGAACTCCAAAGAAACTTGAGCCAGATAGCTGTCTTGCAATTGTGGAGATAATTCATTAAAACTCAATTTCTTCCCACTAATTCTTTTTTTAATCAACCATTTTAATAGTTGTTACTTAAATAATTAATTGCCAGTAACATTCACTGCCTGAGCAACAATTAACTTTTCAGATTATATTAATTTATGTTTAATGAATTCACATTTGTTTCTTTGGGGGGTAATTTTCGGGAATGAACGTATTTAGTGATTTAAATTATTTTTATTAAAAATTAAAATTAATGTTTTACTAATATTTGATTAACAAATAATGACATAAATTAGTTTTTCTTAAACAATGAACATTTAAGAAAAACACAAATGAATGAGTGGCTTAAACACTAGCATTTCCAAGTTGTAGTTCACTAGACTACATTCCAGTCTGTCAAGCCATAAGGTGCTTGAATGAAGTCCTGATATCTTTGACTCTCAGTATATTGTCAATAATAGAAACTAAACTACCTTCATGCTATTTTGTGATGCTATGTAATACCAGGCATTATTCAGGAGATAATGAAGTGGGAAAATTTTAACCACCTCTCTGCTGGTAACTCTGAAGGGACAAAAAAAGGTGGTATCACCTTAAATCCACTGCTGATTGTCCCCAACAACATTTGCCAACTTTCAATTATTACTGCACTGAATAGCACTGGAGAAGAAGATGGTTTGGCCAATGGCACTGCCACCTCTCTCAGCCAGCCATAGTGAATCATTGATGCCTCTGCAGATGTCAGCAGAGGTTTTCTGTCATGGCCAGGAGGTCAAGTGAAGCTCCATGGCTGGCTGGGAATGGCAGCAGTGACATGGAGGATGAGATGATGGTCCAGAGAGGCTGATTCAGGCTTGGACTTACTGTATGCCAATGCCGCATCACTGTTGATTTTGGCCATTTCCAGATAAATGTTTTGGACTGACCCTGGGAGGAATTCTTCTTTAATTGAACAATGTATCAACACCATTCAGTGGTGCCATTTTACTGCCATGGCTCCATGCTGTGGCATATCCTTTCATCCATCACCACATTGCACAGAAAGTTTCCACATAGTTCAACCCTAGTTGACATACCCTAAGCATTCCTATGGTCAATTATTGGGAAGGTTTATTTTTACTGCAAGAAAACCCTTTTAAATGCATGCTCTCGATCCCGCCGGCTTCACAAGCACGCCTGGCAGGGACGAGAGACAGGGCCTTCTCAGTGGTGGCCCCTCAGCTGTGGAACGCCCTTCTTATGGATATTAGATTGCCCCCCCCTCCCTACTGGCATTCCGGAGGAGAGTGAAGACCTGGCTGTTCAAACAGGCATTCAACTAGGCAGTGTAATTGATTATTGGAACATGGAATAATGGATAGCGAGACTGGATTCTGATTCTATTGATGAGACGTGATGGATTTGTTATATTGATGTATTGATGTTTGATGTTTAATCGTTATGCTTTTAAATGTCCAATGATTTTGTACTGTGTATATTGAAACTGTTGTTGTTAACCACTCTGAGTCGCCTAAGGGCTGAGAAGAGTGGTATACAAATGAAGTAAATAAATAAATAAATAGGTTGATGAGTGACATGAAGGCACATACACATTATATATATGTGAATATATATATATATGGAATTGTACAAAACGTGCAGCCTTCCCTGCATTTTGTTTCTGTTCCTCCAGCTATTGTTCCTCTGATCATCTCTTGCTTTGTGAGAATACAAAACTCCTATCTCAATTTTTAGTTGAAGCAGAATTTAGGTAATAATTCTGCATACACTGACAGACTTTTATCTGTCCTGGTTAGGACTCAGAGAGATCCAGCAGCATTTAGAAAACCAAAGGTGTCTCATCACTGAGCTGTACATTTTTACCTGTAAAAAATAGTTCTGCCCATAACCAGTACTTCAGGAGTTTCATATATCTAGTGGGGATTAAACAGATTAAAACCATCTGGAGTGTCTGAAAGTTATATAGTGTCTACCTTGGCACCTCCAGTGCATTTCACAATGACCACCATTCAATTAATCTTCTTTCTTCTTTTTGTTTATCATGAATACTTCAAGTCATGAACAAACAGGAAATTCCATTAGATTAGGAATGGGCAAAATGTTGACCCCAGGGGTCAAAGATATCAAAAATTGAAGAAAAAAATGAGGACCCCAAAGTTCACTTGGGAGATATGGAATATTCCCCAAGTGGAACGCCCTTCCTAGGGAGATTAGATCAGCTTCATCGCTCCTATCATTCCGGAAGAATCTTAAGACATGGCTATTTGAGCGGCACTTGAAAATACGGAGTAACGGATATAACAATGGAATAACTATATGGCAGAACTGGACATTGTTTTAATGATTATTAATTGAAGAATGTTTCATTATGATGTTTGATTTTATTGTTGCTGATGTTTTTTATATTGTATATTGTAATTGTGTCCTTGGTAGCATTGAATTCTTGCCTTGTAAACCACCTCGAGTCGCCGGAAGGCTGAGAGGGGTGGTATAGAAATGGACTAAATAAATAAATAAATAAATATTCCCACATTTTGCCACATTGTTTATTCCTTGGGGCATTTGATACCCAGGAGAGRCCTTTTTTCTTAATAGAAAATATTCCACTCACTTCCAAGAGGTGCCAAAATCAAGTATCTCCTTATGGCCTATAGGGAGTGGGCAGGGGCAAAAATGGGGGGGGGGGAGGTTGATATTGATATGTTATGGGCTTGCAGCTCTCCAATGTTTTCTGGGGATGAATGAGGTTCCTTAGTCTCCCACAGCTTCACATTCCTGTATTATGGCACACCTACACTGTAGAATTAATGCAGTTTGACACCACTTTCACTGCCATGGCTCAGTTACATGGA